GATCAATAAAACTAAAAGCTGGTTCTTTGAGAAGATACACAAACTTGATAAACCATTAGCCAGACTCATCAAGAAAAAGAGGGAGAGGACTCAAGTCAATAAAATTAGAAATGAAAAAGGAGAAGTTACAACAGACACCACAGAAATACAAAGCATCCTAAGAGACTACTACAAGCAACTCTATGCCAATAAAATGGACAACCTGGACGAAATGGACAAATTCTTAGAAAAGCACAACCTTCTGAGACTGAACCAGGGAGAAATAGAAAATATGAACAGACCAATCACAAGCACTGAAATTGAGACTGTGATTAAAAATCTTCCAACAGGGCTTCCCTGGTGGCACAGGGGTTGGGATTCCACCTGCCGATGCAGAGCACACGGGTTCGTTCCCCGGTCCGGGAGGATCTCACATGCCGCGAAGCGGCTGGGCCTGTGAGCCGTGGCCACTGAGCCTGTGTGTCCGGAGCCTGTGCTCCGCAACGGGAGAGGCCACAACAGACAGAGGCCAATGTACCAAAAAAAAAAAAAAAAAAAAATTCCAACAAACAAAAGTCCAGGACCAGATGGTTTCACAGGTGAATTCTACCAAACATTGAGAGAAGAGCTAACACCCATCCTTCTCAAACTCTTCCAGAAAATTGCAGAGGAAGGAACACTCCCAAACTCATTCTACGAGGCCACCATCACCATGATACAAAAACCAGACAAAGACACTACAAAAAAGGAATATTTCACACCAGTATCACTGGTGATTACAGATGCAAAAATGCTCAACAAAATACTAGCAAACAGAATCCAACAACATATTAAAAGGATCATACACCATGATCAAGTGGGATTTATCCCAGGGATGCAAGGATTCTTCAATATATGCAAATCAATCAATGTGATACACCATATTAACAAATTGAAGAATAAAAACCATATGATCATCTCAATAGATGCAGAAAAAGCTTTTGACGAAATTCAACACCCATTTATGATAAAAAATCTCCAGAAAGTGGGCATAGAGGGAACCTATCTCAACATAATGAAGGCCATATATGACAAACCCACAGCCAACATCATTCTCAGTGCTGAAAAACTGAAAGCATTTCCTCTAAGATCAGGAACAAGACAAGGATGTCCACTCTCGCCACCATGATTCAACATAGTTTTGGAAGTGCTAGCCATGGCAATCAGAGAAGAAAAAGAAATAAAATAAAATAAAAGGAATACAAATTGGAAAAGAAGTAAAACGGTTACTGTTGGCAGATGACATGATACTATACATAGAGAATCCTAAAGATGCCACCAGAAAACTACTAGAGCTAATCAATGAATCTGGTAAAGTTTCAGGATACAAAATTAATGCACAGAAATCTCTTGCATTCCTATACACTAATGATGAAAAATCTGAAAGAGAAATTAAGGAAACATTCACATTTACCACTGCAACAAAAAGAATAAAATACCTAGGAATAAACCTACCTAGGGAGACAAAAGACCTGTATGCAGAAAACTCTAAGACATTGGTGAAAGAAATGAAAGATGATACAAATAGGTGGAGAGATATACCATTTTCTTGGATTGGAAGAATCAATATTGTTAAAATGACTATACTACCCAAAGCAATCTACAGATTCAATGTAATCCCTATCAAATTACCAATGGCATTTTTTACAGAACTAGAACAAAAAATCTTAAAATTTGTATGGAGACACAAAAGACCCCGAATAGCCAAAGCAGTCTTGAGGGGAAATAAACGGAGCTGGAAGAATCAGACTCCCTGACTTCAGACTATACTACAAAGCTACAGTAATCAAGACAATATGGTACTGGCACAAAAAGAGAAATATAGATCAATGGACCAGGATAGAAAGCCCAGAAATAAACCCACACACCTATGGTCAACTAATCTATGACAAAGGAGGCAAGTATATACAAAGGAGAAAAGACAGCCTCCTCAATAAGTGGTGCTGGGAACACTGAACAGCTACATGTAAAAGAATGAAATTAGAACACTCCCTAATACCATGCATAAAAATAAACCCAAGATGGATTAGAGACCTAAATGTTAGGCCGGACAGTATAAAACTCTCCGAGGAAAACATAGGAAGAACACACTTTGACATAAATCACAGCAAGATCTTTTTTGATCCACCTCGTAGAGCAATGGAAATAAAAACAAAAATAAACAAATGGGACCTAATGAAACTTAAAAGCTTTTGCAAAGCAAAGTAGAAACAAGACGAAAAGACAACCCTCAGAATGGGAGAAAATATTTGCAAACAAATCAACAGACAAAGGATTAATCTCCAAAATATATAAACAGCTCATGAAGTTCAATATTAAAAAAAAACAAACAACCCAATCCAAAAATGGGCAGAAGACCTAAATAGACATTTCTCCAAGGAAGACATACAGATGGCCAAGAAGCACATGAAAAGCTGCTCAACATCACTAATTATTAGAGAAATGCAAATCAAAACTACAGTGAGGTATCACCTCACACCAGTTAGAATGGGCATCATCAGAAAATCTATAAACAATAAATGATGGAGAGGGTTGGAGAAAAGGGAACCCTCTTGCACTGCTGGTGGGAATGTAAACTGATACAGCCACTATGGAGAACAGTATGGAGGTTCCTTAAAAAACTAAGAATAGAATTACCATATGATCCAGCAATCCCACTACTGGGCATATACCCAGAGAAAACCGTAATTCAAAAAGACACATGCACCCCAATGTTCACTGCAGCACTATTTACAATGGCCAGGTCATGGAAGCAACCTAAATGCCCATCGACAGACAAATGGATAAAGAAGATGTGGTACATATATACAATGGAATATTACTCAGCCATAAAAAAGGAATGAAACTTGGTCATTTGTAGAGACGTGGATGCACCTAGAGACTGTCATACAGAGTGAAGTAAGTCAGAAAGAGAAAAACAAATATGGTATATTAATGCATATACGAGGAACCTAGAAAAATGGTACAGATGAACTGGTCTGCAGGGCAGAAATAGAGACACAGATGTAGAGAACAAATGTATGGACACAAAGAGGGGGAAAGTGGCGGGGGTGGTGTTGGGATGAATTGGGAGATTGCGATTGACATATATACACTAATATGTATACAATGGATAACTAGTAAGAACCTGCTATATAAAAAAATTTAAAAAATGAAATTCAAAAAAAAAAAAAACAAAGGGGAAAGTAAAAGCACTAGAATTAAAACATGATTTAAACAGCATAACAATCTGAAGCCAGGGAAGACTGGGACCAGTAGGCCAGAAGATAAGTACCAGATAATAGTAATTATGATTTGGGAGGAACATGAGATACCCTGTGACAGTTATTGTCTCATAGTCAAGACCTGTTCATGATGTGGCAAACAAGACGAGAGTTGTCCACTATTGGACTCCGGAAACTACAGAGAAAAACGGTAACTAGCGGAGGGTGGAGAAATCAAAATTGCTGGGAGGAGAAAACGAAAGGGAACTATCAAAAAACCCTTAGACTTATTCTGATTTCTGGAGTTCTGTCCCTTTCACTCATGCTTCATAGCTAAATGGTTCTTTTTCTTTAGGAATATGGTATGAGAATCTCCCTGTATATGACATCAACGGGTGGATTCAGAAGAAACACAATCATGTTAAGAGATAACACAAAAGACATCTGATAAAACGCCAAAACACAAGTCTGATAAAAACTGTAAAACCCAGACGTAAAATTATATTCCTTACTATTTTACCATACATAACAGAGAAATGACTAAAGTATTTCCATTAAAGACAGGAAGAAAAGTATTATCTCTATTACTATTTAACTCTGTCCTAGAAGTTCTGGCCGATGCAGCAAGAATAAAGTGGTAATAAAAGGCAAAACTTAAAGAAAGCAGGGGAGTTAGGCGTACTGGCTATGAATACTAAGACTTCGATACCTGACAGGCACAGGTTCCTATCCCAATTCCACACTTCCTGAAAATGTGACCTCATCTAATTGTTTTATCTTTCTTTATCTGCTTTGTAAAGTTGTAAAGAGTAAGCAAAGCGATCCATGGGCAGTGGCTATAATTTGCCTTGCATACAATAAACAATTATGAACTGTAGCAATTACTGTTATGATGTATATCATGACTGCCTGTCAGTGATATTGTTGCATGCTGAAACCCCTCAACATTGGTAGAACAGGCACACTCACTGCATAAGAGATAAGCAAAACCCAACAACTTCTCCAAATATCAGCACTATTCTGTTAGAAAAAGCCAAACATTGAAAAGCAGAAATGGAATTATAAACCATCAAGAAATGAGCTTTATAAGAAATATAACAAGTATGAGTTAAAAATGATCAAAATTATGTAAGAGATATAAAAGATACAAGTAAATGTAGATATTTAACACGCTTCTGGATAAAGACCATTATAAACACGTCAGCTCTTCTTAAGTTAATTTGTAGGTTTAAGGTAGTATGATCAAAATCCCTACAGGATTTAAGAAAAGAAAAAAGAAAAAATATTACTCTAAACTGTATCTCTTAGAGAAAAAGAGAGCAAGTAAGTAAGGAAAACAAATGAAAAAGAAGAGTGAAGGGGAAATGAGGGAAGAACCCTTCCAAGAATTAAATATATTCTAAACCCATAATTACAAGCACAACGGGGCCCTGGGGAACAGACGTGGACTCATCCTCCAGGACACACAGGCGTCTAGTCTCTCACAGGCAGCATTGCAGATCAGGGGCAGAAGAAACGTTGCAGGCACTAAGTGATGTTGGGACTTTGATTAGCTACTTGGCAATAAAAAAGACTAAATAAAACACATTGGGTTCTCACCTCAAATCAAACCCCAAAATAACTTCCATATGGATCGTCCTTAAATGATGACAAAGACAGAGAGATGTAGGGGAATTGAACGAGAGGGAGAAAATAGGACCACAGAACCATAAGGCTGGCGCAGCACCCAGTGAAAGCCGGCATGCAGGAGCCCGGCAGGACGACAGGGGCAAGGCTCACATGCTCCTCCCACAGCTTCTTCTCTCTCTCGTACGCCTCCTTCCTCCTACGTTCTAGCTGCTCCTTCAGCACAGCCGCGCGGGCGCTCACCTGGGCCTGGAAATGAAGACAATCAGCACAGCTAGTGCCAGAAAGAAAGGCGCACGTTTGCCTGTTTGTTTGTCCAGGTCTATAAAAATATTTCCTTATTAGCCAAAAAAGAAGTGGGTGAGTGTGGTTCCAGAACACAAACGTAAGCTGCATGCCCAGCACCTAAACGGGCTGCCAACACACAGCAGCTGCTCAGTAAGTATTTCTGGAATGAAAATAAATGCAGGTACAGTCAAATGGAAATAAAAATTAAAAAATTTACAACTATGACTATTATGCACAAACTTGTCTTCACAGAAACAGAGATTACGTTTTTCACTTTTAGGGTTACCATTTTCTCTTCTTAAGGTTACTTGTGTGAGTTTCATGTATTTATGCTGTGGCTTCATCAAATTGCTCTCCATAAATATGACATGAAGAGAGCAAAACGCTATTTTTCGGAAATGGAAAAGTGAGGGATAAAAGGGAAAGAAAAGTTAAGGCAAGAGAATAAGTTGGTTTACTACGAAAGACTTAAGAACACAACTTTCTATCTCGGGTTTCCATTTCCTCTAGGAAAACCTGTATCGCTTCCAGTACATACCTTCAGCACTTCCACTTTCTTACGCCTCACGTCAGCCTCCTCACTTCCTTCCTGTCCTTCGGAGCTGTCAGCTTCTTTCTACAAAATAAGTAGTGAGCAGACCACTTAGGATAGAACCGCAAACTCACTGTAGACTTCACATGAATAAACTAACATCTAAAAATGAAAAATGGCAAGTCGTTCACAGCTGCAACTGAACGCTCCACAACCGTCAACTCCTATGGACACTGAGAAAAAAGACAGAACAGAAGGATATAAAACGTACCATTTTATATGTCCGTGGGTACCACTCACACTTTCCTCTCAGAATCCCCCCGGAACAAAAGGTCTTATCAATTTTAAGTCATATAAATAAGATATACTGTAACACTATGTATAGTTTTCTGGTCTTTGACCTTCACTGCCTTCATCAGACTTTATTTTGTGTTAGTGGCACATAATCTCAGTGTATTATAATGTCATTCAATTACTTTTTGAAAAAGATTTTCAACCTGCCTTTTCACCACGAAGCTTCGCTCTAATCTGTTGGCGCTCATTGAAATTCTGCAGTCTTATTTGTCTCAGCCTTGCCAGATAAACCTACGAAGAGAAAAAAACCGCAACATTTTATTTAAAAAAAAAACAACTACCGTTTTCATTGCTAAAATGTTTTTTATTTAAAGAAAGGTGTTAATGTGAATATAAGAAATAAAAGTTTTGAAATCTGGTTAATGGCAATGTAATATTAGCTTTCAAGTGTTTAATCTACATCAATTTGTTTCTGAAAAGAAAAACAACACAATAACAAATTTTTAATTTTATCAAAAGAAAAGAAATTGAACTCAGAATTCTGAATAACAGTTATGGGGCAAAATTATGACACAGTATGTCAGTCAAAATATATTAACAGGTCCCTACAGACCTAAAGATCGTCCAGTCATTGTTAGGAATTTAAACCATGCAGGAAAGGAAGGCAATCAACTCAAAGTGACGGCGTGAGGCAGCGAGCATGCAGGAGGCGTACCTCTTCCTCTTTGCTTCTCGGCTTCCCTCCTCGTGAAGAGCTGCGCCTGCCTTCGCACAGAGCTGCCAGGTTGTGCAGGGTGCCCTGTGCATCATTTAATGTACTAAGGTTAAAGAACGACTAAGGCTACAGCAGCATCTTACCTAGGGACCGCCCGGCGCCACTACTTCTGGTGGCAAATACTGATCATGTCTAAATGATTAGCTGATAAACTGATAAAAGACGCTGGCATTCTCCTTTGGCGATTTAACCAACACATTCAGTGAGAACAGAAGGAAGCAATTAAACCCCAAATGTAATTATTCAAATAGAGACCAGCTACCTTTTTATTAGCCATTTACGTCAACATGTTTTTTAAAACTGCTTTGGAGGTTAACTAAACCCCAAATCAAAATCTTCCTCTACAAAGGCCCATCATTGCTACAGGTTCGCTTACATAGTAAACACACACGTGCACACACACACACGCACACGACAGGGAATAACATGAGCTCCAATTCCCTGCACCCGGGCATGCCCTGGTCCTGGACTGCAAATGACCCGCCCAACCACACGCTGACTAACATGGTTTATCACAAGCATGGAATGATCTCCTCATTAGAAATTACTCATAATTGCCCACTTTCTCTTCCTGCGGCACCAGCTGTGGATCAAGAGCCTCCCAACTGAAAAATCCTCGTCCCACTTCCCCTCCTCACGTCTTTCTGTCGGATTGCTGAACGCGTACTTTTTATATTTCCCTGCTTTTACCTGCTTCCCATTTATTTTTAAATCTGCTACACTCTGTGTTCTGATCCCACTGTGACTCTGAAAATCTTTCAAGGCTACCAATGCCCTCCAAGTTCGTAATTCAAATAGACTCTTTTGAGCAAATTTTGCAATGAACATTTCCATTGGAAATTAGTTTTCATTGAATCCATTTAGCTTATGTCAGTATTTTTTTCTCTTATAAAAATCATATATGTTCACTGTTGAAAACGTATGAAACAAAGAAAATACAAATCATTCGTAATTCTACCATCTGAGAAACTTACAGTTTCAGTGTTCTCCTCCAGACTTCCTTCTATGCCTATGTAGGAATTTAACCATTTTAGTTTGAAGTATTATAGATAACAACAGAAAGGTGAGAAGTAATGTACAGGGAAGTCCCATGTATGCTTCACCCACCCTCTCCCAACTGTATCGTCCTGCATAACTGTGGTACCTATACACACTGGGAAGCTGGCACTGCACGAACCAGACATTTCACCAGTTACAAGTGCTCACGTTTCTGTATCGCCATCAGTACAATTTTATCACACGCGTAGCCTTATGTGACCACCATCAAATCAAGATACTTAACTGTACCATTACTATGTCACTTGATAGCCACATTCACTGCTCCCATCTCTGCCCGTCAACTACCAATCTGTTCCCCACGCCTACAATTATATTTCACAAGTTCTATATATACGTATGGAATCGCGCAGTATGCATCCTTCTGAGGTTGACTGTTTTCACTTGGTATTACTTCCTCGGAGTCCATCCAAGACACTGGACGCATGACTGAATGGCCTGTTCCATCTCAGTGCTGAGCAGCAGACTATGGTATGGAAGTACCATAATTTGTTCATTCATTCACCCTCTGAAGGACATTGGGGTTTCACAGTTTTGGCTATGAAGAACAAATTTGCTGGGCTTCCCTCATGGCGCAGTGGTTGAGAGTCCGCCTGCCAATGCAGGGGACACGGGTTCGTGCCCCAGTCCAGGAGGATCCCACATGCCGCGGAGTGGCTGGGCCCGTGAGCCATGGCCGCTGAGCCTGCGCGTCCGGAGCCTGTGCTCCGCAACGGGAGAGGCCACAACAGTGAGAGGCCCGCATACCACAAAACAAAACAAAAAACCCCACAAAAACAAAGTTGCTAAGAACATGCATGTAATAAGTTTCTTAGTGAAAATAAGTTTTATCTTCTCTGGGACAAATGCCCAAGAGCGCAGCATTACCTGCTCTTGGTGTGACAGATCCATTTGTAGTTTTAAAAGGGACTGCCAAACAGTTTTGCAAAGTGGCTGTATCAGTTAACATCCCTACTAGCAATGTTACGGTCACCCACTTTTTCCACATCCTCACCAGCATTTGGTTTTATCACAATTTTTATTTGAGCCATTCTGATGGATGGGTAGTGATATACTACTGTGGTTTTAATTTGCATTCCCCAGATGGCTAATGATGTTGAACATCTTTTCATGTGTTTATCTGCCATCTGTGTCTGCCATTCATCCTCTTCACTGTTTAGATTGTCTTTTGCCCATTTTCTAACTGGACTCTTCATATTTTTAATGTTGAGTTTTGGTGGGTTTTTATATGTTCTAGATACAAGTCGTTTGTTAAACATGGGGTTTACAAATATTTTCCCCCAATCTGTAACTTGTATATTCTTCCTCTTAACAGGGTCTTTTGCAGAGCAAAAGTTTTAAATTCTCATGAAGTCCAATTTATCAAGTTTTTCTTTTATGGACTGTGCTTTTGGTGTTAAGTCTAAGCACTCTCCGTCTAGTCCTAGGTCTTGAAATTTTCTTCTTTTTCTCTAAGTTTTATAATTTTATGTTTTACATTAGAGTGCATGATCTGTATTGACTTACTTACATTACGTGTGAGGTCTAGGTCAAGGTTCATATTTTTGCCTACAGATGGATGTCCAATTTCTCCAGCACTAATACTGAAAAGGCAATCCCTCCCCCACTGAACTGCTTTTGCTTCTTTGTCAAGAATTAGCAGGGCATATTGGTGTGAATTTACTTCTGGGTTCCTCACACTGTTCCACTGACCTATGTGCCCATCCTTCCACTAGCACTATACTGCTTCGATCACTGCAGCTACAAGCAAGCTGTGACACCAGGAAGAGTCATTCTTCCCACTTCAGTCTTCTTCAGAATTGTTTGGCTATTTTAAGGCCTTTCTCTGTCTATATAAATTTTAGAATAAGCTTGTCTATAAAAAAAATGTTTCTGAGGGTTTACTAAGAATTACAATTATTAGTAAAACAATTTAAGAATACTTGCCATTTTCATTACCTTGAGTCTTCCAATTAATGAACATGGTATGATTCTCCAAATATTTAAATCTTCAATTTCATCAAGATTTTGTCATTTTAATTGCACAAATCCTGCATGTTTTATTATACTTTTGTTCATTTTCTTTGGAGCAATTGTAAATGGTATTGCGTTTTTTAAAATATGTTTCCACTTGTTCATTGTCAATGTATAGAAATCAGTTGATTTTTGTGAAGTGACCTTATACTTTTATAACAATAATAAATTCATTTTTTAGTTCTAGGAGTGTTTTGGTAGAGTCCTTCAGATATTCTATGCAGATAATCATGTCAACTGGAAATAGCAATAGTTTCATTCCTTCTTTTCAATTTGTATGTCTTTTCTTTCTTTTTCTTTCTTTACTGCAGTAACCAAAACTGCCAGCAGTATGTTGATTAACAGTGGTGAGAGCTAACTTCCTTGTCCTTTTGCAGACTGTAGAGGGAGAGCATTCAGTCCTCTACCTGTAAGTATTGTTAGGTGTAAGTTTGTTTATAGATGACTATTATGAGGTTGAGGACATTCCCCTTGCTTTCTACTTACTGATAGTTTTTATTTATTATGATGCTGAATTCTGTCAAAACATTTTCTGCATCCATTGTTATGATCA